AAAAAAAAAAAAAAAGAAAGCAGTTCCTATGAAAAAGAACTTGCAGTCCAGCAACTGATAGAGCTGTAAGAGTTCCATTGTCTAGAAGGTGGAGTCCATTCCTTGGCCTCATGTTTTCCAGGGCCAAGGACAAATAAGAGGAGGTCCAGGATGGAGAGATATAATAAGTGTAACAGTTACACTGAAAGGGACAGAATGCAGTAAAAAAAAAAGCAACTTTCTTTTCTTCCTTCTTTCCCCTCCTCTGCCCACCCAGGTCTGCTCTATGGACAAGTTCTTTCCCATCCCTTGTGAGAAATGTGAGGTTGGTGTCACTAGTTTTCTGGTCCTCTTCAGCTAACAAAAAGACCTCCAGATATTTTAATCCCATGAATAGTTTCATTTTCGTAATTAAAATGCTCAGTTCTGTGCAATAGTCAAATCTGAGAATTCCACTTATAGGGAGTAGGGAGTCAGCATGTGGTCAGCTTCTCCTTTATTTTCCCACCAACAGGATCTCTTTGAACCAAAATAGTCCATCCCCTCAACCACTCCCCACCCCCAAGATGGCTAACAGCCTTTCTGACCCAGGAGTATGGGTGAGGGGTATGGATGGAGGGGGAGCAAGGTCTCTGCCTAGTGAGTATGGAAAGCTTTTCCCTGTGGAACATTGTTTTACCCGCTTAACCTTATGTTGAATGAGTTATGGTGGGGCCAGACACAGATCAAGAGAGAGAAACTGGAAAGAGTTTTAGGGCTTTTTATACTTACAGTTTCCTGGAGAGTCCACGAATGCAGGACTACTCAGGGCCAGAGTCTGTCACAGAGAGAGAAAGAGAGGGGTATTGTGGACAAACAGCTTTATCATGGTTTTTAAGGGAAGGATAGGGCGAAATAAGGCAAGCAGTTATAGGATTGGCTAATTTGGATAATTTCAGTGGTCTCTGAAGCACAGGGGCTGTAACTAGTTGTTTGGTGCCTGGCCCTGGGGCAATTAGGGCAGATGTATAGTGTTCTAAGCGTGAGCGCCTGCTGAGATAAGTGGTTGGGGGTGTACGGTTAATAGCCTGCTAGAGAAGGGGAATTGACCAGCTTCCAGCCAGAGCCTCAAAACTGGATCAAGGCAGCATGAAAAAACTGCTACATTACAGCTATTTTATGGGTTCTTTGGAGACCTGAGACATGAGAGCATGTCTCAACTGCAGTCCCTTTGTTATCTGTGAAGTCTCTCTTCTGCCTATATCAGGCACCCTCATGCACAGATTCTGCTACATCTGAGGGCACTAAGCTGTCTCCTGTGCTTCTCACATCTAACACTGAATTATACATGACACGATCATCAGCAAAGGATAGGGTGCTGAGAGCACCATGCAGAACCTAAGCTATTGGAGGGTGGGAAAAGCAGCAGCAGAGGCGAGGAGTAGAGGACAAAGCGTTTCCAGTGCATCAGAATAATGTACTCTCTGGGGCTGGGACTAGGGTGAGCAGAGTGAGGCACTCAGTGAGGGTGCAACATTTAAGAGGTGCCATAAAATTCAGCAATTAAGATACGTAATAGTTAATAAGGTATTTTTTTAAATACATAAAAATGTTTATATAGGGTGCACAAGTTCCCTTTTGCTTAAGACTTCAACGTGGCTCAGCGGGGAACTGGGGCTATGCAATCGCAGCTTCTAGCTCTCCCCTTAGGATCCGGAGCAGCCGCCAAGGAAAGGCCTTCCCTAGGAAGAAATAGCCCTTCAGCCCAACCTTGAAGAAGGAGCTGAATCAAACCAACGCAGGGCAATGAGGCGCATGGCGTGTACGGACAGGGAAGAAGAAACCGCAAATACATGAATCCAAGATGCCTGGAGTGAAAACAGCTAGAGGGTTATTTGGGGGAATGGTCTTGGCAACGCCGTTCTAGGCAGGTACCACGATCATATAGGGACTCTGTAGAATTGTAATTAGGAAGGCAAGTGCCCACGTTTGTTTCTCATGCAGATAATGCTGAGCAGGGGACAGGCTGAAGAGGTCGGGTCTCGATCCAGGTAAACCCTTTATGAGGCTAGCGCACTATCTGAATGAGGGATGACAGCCTCTCACCTAGACAGGTGCAGACAGATTCCCGAGGTCCAGGTTCGGACCTCAGTTTCTCCACTGGAAAGCTGAGGGTGGGCTGGCACCCGGGTCCCTGCCCGCCAACGGGGCCGCCGCAGGGTTTCCTAGGCGGGGCGGGTGCCCCTGGGCACGCGCAGGACCCGCCCGCCTTCAGCCGGGGGCCGGGGCGAGCGGGGCGGGGCGGGCCCGCCGGTGCCCTGACCCGCTCGTCGCCCAATCGCCGCGGGCCCGCCGAGCCCTGGGGGGCTGGGGCCGCCGCCGCCGCCGCCAGAACGTGCCGCGGCTGCGCCAACGCGCGAACGCCTGGCAGGGCGGCGGGCGCGCTCAGTCTGGCGGCGGCGGCCGTGCGCGGACGGACGTGCCAGGAGCGCCGCAGCCGCCCGCGCCCCCCGCAGCAGAGCAGAGCCGCGCCGCTCGGGCCGCGCCCGCCCGCCCGCCATGGTGTCATGGATCATCTCCAGGCTGGTGGTGTAAGTGCCCTTCTCCCCGGTGCCCCTCCGTTGCCTCCCTCCCCGCCCCCGACCCCGGGCTGCGCGCGCCCCTGCAGCACCCGGCCCCAGTGGCTCGGGCTATTAATACCCGGCGCCGCTAAATTTAGCAGGTACAGTAGCCTCCGAGGACGCCTGCGGGCGGGCAGCGCAGGACGCGGCTGTAGCCGGGAGGCAGCCGGCGCCGGCGGCCGGTTGCGGGGGAATGGGCCGGGGCGGCGAGGGCTGGGGAGCGCGGGGGCTCCGTGGGGGCTGCGTCTCGCCGCGCCCCGGCCGCTTTGTTCCCCTGGTCAGTCGATTTGCAGAGAGGCCCTGAATCGGCGCGCCGCGAGGACACGCGTCTCTCTCCTCTGGGAGAAATGTGCGGTCGGTCGCCCTCACCGCGCCCCGTCGCCCGGCTTTTGTGAGGTGGAAAGGACGGCCCAGGCGAGCCAGGGGCGCTGCCTGGAGGGTCAGCGCAGAACGGGTGGAGAGACAGAGGCGGGGCTCCCAGTGGGGTTGGACAAATCCTCGTTTTAAGGTGTCTTACATCGACAGTGGCAAAGGCAGGTGGGACATGGGAGGACGCATGTGAATCTTGGAGTAGGCGCCTGGTGCCCCCGGCTACGACTCCGACTCCTTTTGCAGAGGTTTGAGAGACAGGGGCAGGTACCTCCGGTAGTGCACGGGAAATTTCCAAGTGACAGTCGCCCGGATGGTGGCAATGACACCTCCCAGGCCTTGCAGGAGAGCGCAGAGTCATCTGGGGTGAGGTCTGTGTGAAGTCATTGGGGGTGGGTGTGGGGGCCGATTTTCTTCAAGCCCCAGGACCGGTAGGCGTTTGAAGAGCTTCCCCGGTGACTTTATTCTCCTTTGGAGATGGACGTGGCTGTTCCAGTCCAAGCTTCTTCCCTGACTGTCCTGGCTTGAGTCAGAATAGATTTTCGAGCCGGGGCTGAAATGGGTGTGGGGAGTCTAAGGCGGGGAGGAGGGTGGCAGGCACTTCTGGCTTTTTCTTTGTCTGAGAAAGCGGGGCTCTGGACCCTAGTGACTGTGCACCATCACTCCCCAGGTTTTGAAACACCTCCCATCTCCCTTCCCTTCTTTACTGATTTTCCCTTCTGAAGTGGATGTTGGCAT